GTTCAAATGCTTAATGAACAACAACTGAGTGCCAGGCACAAAGTTGAGTGATTTCTCCCTCATTGCCTCGTTTATTTCTCAGATACCCCCATGGAGTAGTAGTATCACAGAATTTTACAAGTAAGGAAACTGGAGCTCAGAGAGGATTCTCTGAGGTCACATGGCTCGTAAGTGACAAAACCAGTAATGAGAAACAAGATTTTGAATGCCAAGTTAAGCATTCTCTCTCCTATTCACCCCCATACCCACCCCACCAGCTGCTGCACTGTTCAACTTCAGCTCAGTTTGTACATGGACGTATCCTTAGATTGTGACAATGTGCTAGGGATGGGCTGTCCCCTCTACTATCATCCTACACAGGTGTTCCTCTTTCCACACAGCCTTGTTCACCTGCAGGACTAATGACTACCATTTCCATACAACTCTAGGCAGCTGTCAAGTCCTGACTCACTTTCTCAGGACCAGTGACTGTCCTCAGCCCCAGGCCTGTACCTGGCCATTCCATGCAGATGCAGTGCAGGGCCTGGGCCCCTCACCTCTGCTGCTGTCCTGGATGAGTAAAGCTCACGATGGAATCTGGAGACACACCCAGCTGCAGCTCTGGCAAGGGGTGGAGTTAAGGGGCTGGCCTGGCCAGTCAGGATAACCCAGGAGGCAGTGGCCCAGAGAATCCTGTCCAGAGATTAAGCTGCCTGCTGTGTCCTTTGGGGTCAGGTGTGCAGACCAAACAAATATGACAGGACATTTGGGGTGGAGGCTGGTCTGCTCTTTTATTGACGGAATTCTCTGGAACTCTGTTTTACAGCCAACCTGGGGTAAACATATCCACATAACAAAGGATAATTTGTGTGAGCACCAGGCACGCCTTTAGATGGGTATTTTAGATATATTTTTCGAGTTAGATGGCCTCAGCCAATCTTCACTTTACAGATAACCGCTCCAGCTTGCAGTTTAACTGACTTGCCCAAGGTCACTCTATTAGTTAGTCTTAGACATTTCTGAGCTCCCGCACTCACGAGTTTGAAAAATAATCCAAAAGCCACAAGGCTAAATCAAAACCATGAAAGTGGATGGGGGTGTATACTGTCCGCAGGTTTTTTCCTAAGGAATGTTCACACAACGTGACAATTTGAACCAAGGGTCAGGCCAGTAGGCTAAATCCACCCCTGATCTATCACAGGCTTTTGGAGAAGCCAAACTGGAGCCAGCAACATGCCTTGAATGTTACTGGCCAAGTAGAACATCTGCTAAACACCCATTCAACAGAGCTTGCTAAATATGAATAACCTGGCAACAATATTCTGAATTTGAATAAAGTAGAGCCCGGAAGTCAGAAGACAGTGGCTCAAGCCCCAGTCTGCCATTTATCAACTATGACCTTGAGACAAACTTCAGCCTTAATATCCACATCTGTAAAACGGGAAAAACAGCATCACACCTAGCTTAAGGAGTCTTGGGAGGTTAAAACAAGACCAGAGGTGTCATCGCAATGGAGTACTATGCAAAAATTAGGTAATTCCTTTTTCCTTAGTCTCTTGTAATCCAGGATGCCATTTAAAAATATTGAGATAATTTACATACCATAAATTCACCATTGAAGTGTACAGTTTAATGGGTTTTAGTAACAATTGGGTAACTTTCCCCCCTATTTTCTCCAGTTTTCCTTTCATCTGCCTCGTAAGCATTAATTCACCCTCCAACACTCAGCTCAAAAATGGACTCCCCATCACATTCTATCCCTTTATTACAGGACACTTTTCTTTGCATTGTAATTTTTTTGTGTATCCACTCGTCCTCCCATCAACTATGAACAAGACAGGGATAGTAACTACTAACTTTAACATAGCACTTTACAGTTTGTAGACAGACCACTTTCTGACTAGGTGATTCTTTCGATCTACTATTTTATCCTACACTGCACTCACTTCACATTTATGAAATTACTGAATGATGGTAATTTGAGTTCCTCCATGGCCCAATTCTAAAGATTCCCTCTCAAATCCCCCAAGAGCACACTTGCATCAGAGAGAGCAGGGGTTTTTTGGGTGTGTGTGTGTGTGTGTGTGTGTGTGTTTTAAAGTTTTCTTGCCAAAGCAAATATTCTAAAGACTGAAAATAACAAGCATGTTCCAAGCAAAGGAAAGCCTGTCGGGCCACCGTTGATCTTTGCAATCACCCAGACAACAAATGCAATTCCAATTCTGATCTCTACTAGCCTCTGAATGCCTCACCGATCTTATCCCCTCACCCAAATCCATGAAGGCCCAATGATTTGTTGATTCAGGCCATGCTGGAGATGGTAAAATATAGTTCTTGCCCTCAAGGAGCCTGCAGCACGGTAGTTCAATTCAAACAATATTTCTCTGTCTTTCCACAAGCACCCTGAGAAGTAGGCGAAGTTGTTAACCCCATTTTACAGAGAAGGAGACTCTGCCTTTGCCCAAGATCACTCCTGGTAAGAGGAAGAGTCAAGACGCACACCAGGTCTTTTAACTCCAAGTCTTGTGCCAGGCCGTAAACGCTGCTGGTGCTGCAGCAGTTTAAACAAAGATTGAGAACTTCAAAGTGAAGACATTCTAGTTGGGGGAAGAGAATAACAATGTCACAGATGAAGATACTTTTGAACTGGGCCTTGGAAGATGGGCAGGGTTTTGACAGCAAGTAGTTTATTTGGCTGGAGAGCTGGTGCCCTTCACAGATCTATGGGTGAAAGAGCAGACGAGGCACCTGAGATCAGGTTAGAGACGGCCCACTCCAGGCTTCCGCACAGGTAATGTGTCATCTGTAACACACCCCTGAAAGCATCCCTTTTAGGAGGAGTGGAGGGAGGGGAAGGGTTACCCAGGAAAGAGGATTCTTTGTTCTGGGTAATATGACAAACACTGAAGGAATACAAAGACCTATTCAGCAAGGCGTTTTCGTTCTGCCCGCTTGCTAATAATAAAAAGCCTCATATTCCCTTGATTACTTATGTTAGTAAAATAACTGATCACAGCAATCAAGGAATGGGAGAGACTGGGGAAGATTACCCACATTCGCTCCAGTTTCAGAAAGTTATTCTCCAATGCTCTCAGGCTGAAAGATTAACCCATTCCCGATCTCCTCAGGAAAAGCAGTTTTAATGGCTTAATTCCTACCCAGGCCTCATTATGGTGCAAGTCCCTCAAGAAAAAGCTTAGAAATATTACAGTCAGGAGAGGTGTGTACTGCTTCTCAAAACTGCACACATTATTTGGATGAGCACAAGGTTTAAAAACCACGCAGTCTTAGTAATGTGATTTAATCACCTGTAAAACTTAGAAGTTAAGGAAAGCAAAAATCCCCCACCCCCCAAAGGTATTTCAGACTTTATGAAGGACAGTTAGTCTGCAATTCCATGACAGAACTTTACTGGTGCTCAGACTGAACCCAGACGGGTTGCTTATCACTGGTGAGAATTCTAAAAGCGGGAACCGCCGGCCCCCCCATCACATTTCAGGTGAGAGGAAATGCAGGTACTGAAAGCCTCTGCAGACATGAGGGAGCTAATCTTAAAAATATCAACACGAGAGTCTCCAGTTCATATTTGCAAACCTTCTCAAGGCTTCCAGGCATTTTGCAAGAAACTTGTGACCAACCCCTGACCTATCCCAAAAGTCCTAGGAGGAGAGGCACTCATTTACCATCAGCCCCGGCTGCTACCTTGAGGTAAATTAAAGCTACTTAACCATGTGAAGCCTGTCTGTTAGATCCTAACCTAAAACTCTCGGGAAATTGAATAGCTGTATTTTCAAAGCAAATAACTGCTGCTATTTCTTGAGTTTTTACTACAGTGATGCGATCTCTCCAAACATCATTATGCATGGAGGGACCTCAATAATCGTACGGGGAATTGCTTATCTTCAGAAAAAGTTAGGCTTGAAAGAGTAATGAGCCCAAAGCCACAGAGCTAGCAGGCGGTCTACCGGTTGACCCCATTCCAAAGTACCTCCCCGAAACCTGCTTTCCTCTGCCTCCCCTCCCCACCAGGTGTGTGCTCTTCCACAAGCCCACACCCCTGGCGACACCCGCACGCACATACAGGAGGCCCTTCCCGGGTCAGCCACACCTACCCCCCTGCTGAGAACTATGCAGACATTTCAGGAGAGCTTTTTCTGGTGCAGGAAACCCCTTGATCTACCTTCCCCTGGGACTCACTGCCCCATCACTGACACACCTATGAGTGGGCACGAGAACCTGGGATTCCCATCCGGATCTGGTTTAGTCAGCACTAAATCCTTAGACATCCCTCCGGACACCCACAGTTTTCAAGGATAAAACTGTAGACACACAAATAGCAGCGAGGCGCTCATGCCCAGGGCTTCTACCAAACCAGGGGAAAGCCGACCCAGGGAGTTCCAGGCCCCATCCTCTCCACGGCTGGTATTGCGAAATCCAATTAACCCGTGCACCTGTCGGCCTCAGCTTCTAGAGATGTAAAGGAAGTGGGTAAGAGGTAACTTGCACTCTTTAGAAGACCAAGCTGCCTTCTGTAAAGTACTTAGGGCTGTGCCAATCTGGGGCCTGACGGATTGCTAACTTTATCTCCCCTCCCTCCTTCACCTTTAGGGGAGGAGGAGAAATAAAGTGGTCAGATCTAAACACATTTACAAAGAATTCGCGTGCATCTGGCAGAATTAAGGGGGGAAAGGCAGGTTAAATAATACGAGCCCTATTTCCTCTCTGCCCATGTTCTTCCTCCTCTCTTCACCCCACACCCTAAATCCAGAAACGAGGTGACCACAGGTGAAAGGAGCTCCAAACAGGTCAAACAAGCAGCCCCCAGTTGCTACCGTCTTCCAGACCACAGGGAAAACCGCGTGGCCAGAGAAAGGCACCGGAGAGCTGGGGGGGGACCTCCAGGGGCTCTATCGCTAGACCAACTTCCCCGGGACCCGCTGGACCCGCGGCTGGTCCTCTCTGGGGCCGGGGGCGCCTGAGCCGCTGCACAACCCGCCGCCCTCCCCGCCTCACGGCCTCACCACGTCCCCCACAGCCTGTCCGGGTCGCCGGCGGCCGCTCACCTGCGCCGGGCAGAGCAGCAGCAGAAGGAGGCCGAGGACCGGGCCGCACGCACTCATGCTGCCGTGGCGCCGGGCTGCAGACGTCGGTGAGGATCCGCTGACACGCTCCGCTCGGTGTCCGAGTCTGTCTGGGTCAGGCGCCGGATGAGGGAGGGAACAAGCGCCAGCTGCGGCTGATTGCGCGCGCAGGTCAGGAAGGACAAAGGCGTCGTCGGCTCCTCCCACTTTTGGTTGGGGCCGCTGGGGGGGCGGGGGGGGGGGGGGGGGGGGGGGCCGGCCTGGGGGGGGGAGTGGGACAGGGCGGGGGCTAGTCGGGACCCGACCGCAGGATCCCACAGCGCCCTCCCCAGTCCCAGCTCGGCACTTCTCCGCCCTGAGGCGCTTGGGGGCGCAGCCTCAGGCTAGGGACTCGCAGACCCGGGCCCCTGAGCATTTGGAATCAGGCCCGGGAAGGACACTTCTGGAGCTGTCCCAACGGCGTGTGGTTTTGATGGTTTAACTCCTTTCTCCCCTTTTTGTCTTTCCTCGATTGGAGACGGTGGGCGAGGTTTTAGCACATGGGATTGCGTGCGGACTATCTTCCCAATTAAGACCCCACTTCTCAGCGGGTCCAATTAGCACCCTAAGCAAGTTCTCCTTCCAAACCCAGTCACCCAAAAGGAATCCATGCCTGGGCACTTCTAGCAAAGAGGGGGGCGGCGCCACGCAGTGGCCTGACAGTGTTGTGATCCGAGAGCTCCACGGGCGGTGCGTGGCTGTGGACTATGCCTCAGAGCTACCCAATCTCTGTTTTCTGTCCTCTCAGCCCACTTTTGGAAAAGCGCTAGAATCGCACCATCTGCTGGCGGAGCCAAGCGTGGCAGGGAATGTGCGGACGTCAGAAGAGCCCGCCACCAGCCAGGGGGGAGGTTTGACCCAGAGGTGGGACCAGAGTCCGTTAAGTTCTAGGTGAAGTGAAGTAACACAAAGATAAAGAAGCATCTACGTTTTTAAGTCTTACACTTATTATAATCTTTTTACATTTATTTTTGTTATATGTATTTCTGGTAATATTTACCCTCAGATTTAATTATTAAAACCACTCAAAAGCATCAGTCATTTCCATTTTGAAGGTAAGGAAGTGCGGGTATGGATCTCTTCTCCGCACAGTGGAAGCCAGTTTACAATGAAAAGACTAAATATCCATCTGTAGCAATGAACAAACCCAGTGAAGGTAGGACCATGATGCAGGTGACATTCCCATCCCTACTCTACAAAGCCTCTGATTCAGTTACCGATTTGCCTCCCCACCTCCTCAGCCCTGAAATGTCCACCTGTCTGGCTGGGCACTGAAACTATAGGGATTCCCTCTGGACCTTCAGCCATGACGACCCCCTGGCCTCATGCATCTGCTTGCTCTCAGGTGCCTGGTGCTCTTGCTGATAAGGTAGTATGCTTCATGCAGAGATACTCAAATTGTTGTCATTGAACCAGCTGGCAGCACCACCACCTGGGAATTTGTTAGAAATGCAAATTATGGGTGCCACCCTGGACCCACCGAATCAGAAAGCCTAGGGGATGAAGCTGCCCTTTTTAGTTTAACAAGCCTTCCTGGTGGTTCCAATTCACATTCCAAATGAAGAACTGCCTCTGTAATGTATTCCCTGGATCCTGGTTGGTTAGTTACCCTTCCAATTTTAGCAAAGTCCTTATGGGGGAAACAAACAAACAACCAAACCTTTACTAAATAATTGACTTGAATAAAGGTAATTTTAAGCTCCACATGAAACATTTCTGGGATGGGCAGAAATTTTGATACCCAACAAATTATGTCTACTATTCACCAAAATAGTAACTAAAAGATCTTTTAGCTATATATATTTTTTCTGGTTCTGTTTTTCTGTACAGCTTTGACAATATCCAAAAGGCTAGAATATATTTTAAAAATAAACTATCATATTTTGAAGAGAAATTTGTTTTGCTGATAAAGTAATCCATGTTCATGGTGGAAACTTTGAAAATACACAAAAGTTTACAGACAAGAATTAAAAAGTCATATATAATTCCACCATTATGGATAATCTATGTCACATCATAGTGTATTTTCTTCTTCTCTGAAAATTGTTTTCACTCATAAAGAAAAAAAAAAGTTGCCTGCCATCCCAATTCTACAAGGATTAAGCCTTTTACCACTGCAGTTGCTAATGTGTGTACCCTGAGGGGAATTCAGGATGGAGAAAAACTGGAAGTATTCTGTGCATCGGATATACTGACCACTAGGTAGCTAAGATACGTAGCTAAGGAAAAATTTCAAAAAGACCCTAGATTCTTTCATCTTCCCCTACTTAGAAAAGCACTAAAATCATTCACTTGAAATGTCCGTTCTTTGTGATTAGCAGTGATCTTTTTATGCTTGATTACAAGTTTTTTTCCAAGCAGAAAAGTTCACATACATCCTGGTTCCTCCCTTACCTCTTTGGAGCAGTTTCTCAGAGCTCTCTGAGATGCTGTCTCCCAGGCTCTGGTCCTCAGTAAGGTCCCCAAATAAAACTTGACTCACAACATTTACATTGTGCATTTTTTAAAAAAATATATAGATTTATTTGTTTTGGGCTGTGTTGGGTCTTCGTTGCTGCCCATGGGCTTTCTCTAGTTGCAGTGAGCGGGAGTGGAAGGGGCAGGGGGCTACTCTTCATTGCAGTGCGCGGGCTTCTCATTGCAGTGACTTCTGTTGCAGAGCATGGGCTCTAGGTGCGCGGGCTTCTGTAGTTGTGGCTCAAGGGCTCTAGAGCACAGGCTCAGTAGTTGTGGCTCACGGGCTTAGTAGCTCCGTGGCATGTGGGATCTTCCAGTGTCCCCTGCGTTGGCAGGTGGATTCTTTACCACTGGGCCACCAGGGAAGTCCTACACTGTGCATTTTTATTTCAGTTGACACATGGTTGAGGTCCTAAGAGAGACTTTTTGTTTAAATAATACTCAATACCACTATCATTATAAACACCATTCAGCATTGATTGCATAAAAATAAAGGACAAAACAAGAGGGTCAATGAAATTATTACATGTATGCATCTTTATAAATGTTCAGAAACGTCCTCCAGAAAACACCTATGTATTCGAAAACATGTACATGAATAATATATGGATGGGCTTTTTAAACAAGTGGGAACATACGGTATACAGTTTATAGCTTGCTTTTTTACATTTAGCAATATGCTTTTCCACCTCAATACTTTTACTAGCTTTATGGATTTCATTGTGTGTATATGACATTTCTGAAGCTAGCACTGTAGGCCAGTCTCAGAGCTGTGCCTAAGTCAGTGAAATAGAATTCACTACCAAAAAGTATTTCAAAATGACTTAAGCCTCAAAATTGCATTTCTGAAACATGGGAAGGGTTTGTATATCTCTAGTAATATTGTATAAATTCACCTTTCTTTTTCTTATGCCTCCTCACATTCCTGAGCTTGTCTGGATTCCACAAAGCTTTGCATCTTTCTGTGCCCTCTGTTTTCCTCATGGTATTGCATCACAGAAGTCTAAAAGCTATTGAACATTTTCCTTAGGGAGAGAGATGAGAACGTTGACCCAAAACAAATTTCTTTTTACCTAGCAGATGGAAGGGGAAGGCTAGAAATAGTCTGTTAATAGTTTTTGATCCATTACGTAATTTATTTAATCAATCTCCTGTTTTACATTTGCTTTGTCACTTTTGTTACAGGAAACAATGATGCAGTGAACATCCATGTACCTAAATCTTTACAATCATATACAAATAGAACTGTCGGAAAAATGCATATATTGTTGGATCAAAGGAAATGTGTATTTTAGTTTTGATTATTGCCAAATTGCCCTCCAAAGAGATTGCAATTTACACCTTTGCTAACAACATATGGAAGTACTTGATTCCATCTCTTTGCCAGCACTTATCTTTGCCATTCTGTTAGGTGAAAAATAGTATCTGTGATTTTAATTATTTTGTTTCTTATTTTAAAAAATATTATGATGCTTTAATTTGTATTTTATTAATTATAAGTGAGATTAAGAATCTTTTCATACACTTATAAATTTTATTTCTTTTTCTGTATTCTTCATTTTCTGTTAGTTTTTTTTATATTGATTTGTAAAAACTATTTATTAAGAAAATTCACCTGTTGGTCTAGCAAATGCAGTGCAGAAACTTTTACTAATTTACCAGTTTACAGGGTTATAAAACATTATTCCATGTTTTCCTTTAGAGTTTTAATGATTTCATGAGGATAATGATCCATCTGGCATTATTTTGCTGCAAGGAGTGATGTAAAGATCTGGCTCTCCACCTCCCCCCAGAGCCTCAGCAATCAGATGGACACCTGCTCTTCTTAAAGTCATCACTGGTTTTTGTGTTGCCAAATCAATGACAACTCCTTTGTTCTCATCTCACTTGCCCTCTTAGTAACATTCAGCAGATGATCACATATTCTTCATAAAACACAGTCTTCTTTAACCCTCATTCTCCTGGGTTACCTCATTGGCTAAGCAACCACTGCATCTCATTTTCTAGACTAGGGATGTGACTTGAGCAGGATATTCATGTTAATAAAATTTTATTACAATAAAATAACTTTGAGTTCTAATAGAGAAGCTTTTTTTTTTTTTTGATGCTGCTGCTGCTAACTTGAAACCTGCAAAGTAGGCAGTGATTCAAGTGAGCAAAGAAAACAGAATGCCTAACCTCTGCACAGATTGTAAGCTTGCCTAGTTTCTAACTTGAAGGCTGAAATTCAATAATAGGAAATGAAGATAGAGCTGGGCCTTTGGGGTACTACTGACTTAATCTGGTGATACCTGAGACCGTTCCTGTTGGACTCAGCATGTCTTCACTTTGCTCTTTTTTTTTCCCACTTTTCGCTCCTTGTATTAGTCAGCTTAGGCTGCTGTAACAAAATACCATGGACTGGGTGGCTTAAACATCAGGAATTTATAACCCACGGTTATGGAGACAGAGAAGTCTAAGATCAAGCTGCCAGTGAGTTCTATTGCTGGTAAGCCCCCGCTTGCTGGCTTGCCGACGGCTGGCTTCTCATTGTGTGTTCACAT